GAGTTGGGGAGGGGGGAGGGGGAGGGAGGGAGAGATGGGGAGGGGGATGGGAGGGGAGGGAGAGGGGGAGGGGGATGAGGGGGAGGGAGAGATGGGGGGGGGGAGGGGGAGGATGGGAGAGAATGGGGAGGGGGAGGAAGGGAGAGATGGGGAGGGGAGGGAGAGAGATGGGAAGGGGTTTGGAGAGTTGGGGAGGGGGGAGGGGGAGAAGGGAGAGATGGGGAGGGGGAATGAGGGAGAGAGGTTGGTGAAGGGATAGGGAGAGGATGGGAGAGTTGGGGAGGGGGTAGGGAGAGATGGGGGAGGGGAGGGAAAAGAGGGGGAGAGAGTTGGTGAAGGGGTAGGGAGAGGATGGGAGAGTTGGGAGGGGGTAGGAGATAAGGGGGAGGAAGGTTGAGATGAGGAGGGGGATGGGAGATTAGGGAGAGGTTGGGGAAAGGGGCAGGGAGATGAGGGAGAGTTGGGGAGGGGGTAGGGAAGGAAGGGAGAGTTGGAAAAAGGGTAGCGAGATAAGGGGGAGAAAAGGAGGGGGTGGGATGAAGGGAGAGATGGGAAGGGAGTAGGGTGACGAAAGGAGGGTAAAGAGAGGAGGAAGAGGTTGAGGACGGTGGTGGAAAGAAGACAGGTTTAGAGAGGTTGAGAAAGGGAGGAAAGGATGAGGGGAAGGAGGAAAAGGGGGTGGGTTGGGGAGGGGGAGAAAGAGAGGAAAGGAGGAGGGGAAGGGGAAAAAGGAAAGGATAGGGAAGGGGAGAAAGAGAGGAAAGGAAGAGGGAAAAGGGAGAGAAAATTAAGGTAAGGGATGATGGAGATGCAAAATATAGAAATAAGACATACGTTTTAAAATCTATATTTCTCAGCTGTCATAAACAGATATTTCGGATGAACAAGGTACGCCATTATTGCCTGAGCCGGACAAATAGACAATAAGACAAGTAAATAGATATTTACGCCTCCTCTCAAGGACCTGAACCCATTCTAAGCAGATAACACGTACAAGAGAGAACAAAGCTGAACTACTACACTCCATCGAACATTTAAAAGGGTTTTATTAACCAGAATATGAAGTAGATCGAATGGAAATTACCCATAAACCCACAAGAGCGCATGATGGCTAGTTTTTTACAGATAGTCCCCGTGAGAAATAAGTGGATTTAATCTAAGAAATTCTAGTCTATAGTGCCGACTTTTTTATTTCTTTATTCTTTTATTTCTTTACTTTTTTTGCGTGTGTGTGTGTGTGTGTGTGTGTGAGTGTGTGTGTGTGTGTGTGTGTGTGTGTGTGTGTGTGTGTGTGTGTGTGTGTGTGTGTGTGTGTGTGTGTGTGTGTGTGAATGAAATACTTTAGTAATGTTTTTTTATTCAGAGACATATACAAAAAGTGTTACCCTTATATCTTACAAACAGATATTTGCACAAATACGGAAAGAAAACAATGAACAAAAACATAAAACGAAAAAAAGGGAGAGAAGAAAAGAGAATACCCATAACTAACGAGAGAAAAAAAAACACGAAAAACATTCACACCCCTCTCCTCTCCTAACCACTCCATCCATATGAAAAAAAAAATAAATAAATAAAAAAACAATCCGAACCACCAACAAAACACACAAAACAAAAAGAACAACAACTCTAGGACACGAGAAAGACACGCAAACACATTTAAATAAACAAAAACAAAAAACAAATCAACAAAAACAATCAAAACCACCAACAAAAACAAAACACGGGACACGAGAAAGACACCCAGACACATAAAAAATCAATAAAAAAAACAATAAAAACCACCCACAAAACAAAAAAAACTACTCCAGGACACTCAAAGACACCCAAGAAGACACGTACCCTCAGAAAAGACACCCAGAAGACACCGTACCTCAGAAAGACACCCAAAAAAGACACTCTAAGAACATCCCACGAAGGTAACCACGGTACCCTCAGAAAAGAAACCCACGACCACTCTAAGCACAGCACCAAGAAGACACGTACCCCTCAGATAAAAGAACACACCAGGAAGACACAAATACCCTGACGGAAAAAAGACAGAACCAGACGACACTCAAAGACACACCCAGACCCTCAAAGACACCCAGGAAGACACGTACCCTCAGAAAAGACACCCAGACACTCTAAGACACCCAAGAAGGACACGTACCTCAGAAAAGAACCCAGACACTATCTAAGACACCCAAGAAGACCCACGTACCTCAGAAAAAAAAGACACCCGAGCACGATCGAGACACCCAAGAAGACACATACCCTGAGAAAAGACACCCAGACCACTCCAAAAAGACCACCAACGAACATGTAACCCTCAGAAAAAGACACCAGACACATCTATAAGACACGCCCAAGAAGACCACGTACCCTCAGAACAAAAGACACAGAACCCTCAAAGAACACCCAGGAAAACGACACATACCCTGAGAAAAGACCCCAGACCACCTCAAAGCAACCCGAAGACACAATACCTGAGAAAGAACCCCAGCAAGAACGTACCTCAAGAAAAGGAACACCCAGACCTAAAGAACACCCAAGAAGACAGTACCCTGGAAGAAAACACAGACACCCAAAACACCCAAGAAGACACGTACCCTGAGAAAAAGACCCTAGACACTCAAAGACAACATCCCAGAACACTCTAAGACACCCAGGAAGCACGTACCGCCTGAGAAAGACACCCAGACACTCCCGGCCAACCCAGCACTCCTAAGACACCCAAGAGACCGTACCCCCAAGAAAGCCACCCAAGAAGACAAGTACCTCAGAAAAGACACCCAGACCTCAAAGACAACCCAAGAAGACACGTACCCTCAGAAAAACAACCAAGACTCAAAGACAACCCAGGAAGACACGTACCTCAGAAAAGACACACCAGACCTCACAAGACACCCCGGAAGAACGTACCCTGCACTGTCCCCATATTCCCCGCCGTCAAGTGATTACCCCGTGTCGTGCTGCTTGCTCCGGGTGTGCTGCAGAAGGAGCATGAGGGCGTTCACGGGCCGTCTCGTCGTGGTGCTTCCGGCTCTCGAACTGGCGGGCGGGGAAAGGGGGGGGTGAGGAGGGGAAGAGGTGAGGAGAGGGGGTTGAGCCGAGGAGGGGTGAGGAGGAGGGGGGAAGGGGGTGAGGGGGGGGAAGGAAGAGGGGAGAGGGGGTAGGAGGAGGGGAGGGGGAGATGGTGGTGGTGGTGGTTTTTAGTGGTTCAATGTTATTATTCAATTATCATCATTATCACATCATTATTGATCATTATTGTTATTTTTTTGTTGTTGTTTTCGTTGATGTTGTTTGCTGCGCCCGCTGCTCTGCTGTTGTTTGCTGTTGTTGTTGCTGCTGTTTGTTGTCGTGTTTGTTGTGCTGCTGCTGCTGTTGTTTATTTGTTTGTATAGGTGGTCGGGAGTGCTTTGCTGCTACAGGCAGGATAAGGGTTTAATATTTCCTTATGTTTTTAAAAAAATGGAAGGAAAAAAGAAGCAAAGGAAAGAGAAAAATAAATAAGATTTAACCTGAAGGAAAGCACCTTCCACGAAACGAGGTATCCTGCTGCTATTTTTTTCTTTCTTTTTCTTTTTATTTGCAATCTCTCTTTTCGATCCCACTTTAACTTCTTCTTCGTTCTTGCCCTTCATCCGTTTTTTTTTGCTGTCCTCTTCTTCCTAACCTCCTTCCTCTTTTCTTCTTTTTCCTTCCCATTTTCTTCCTCTGTTTTGCCTATCTATCTGTCTATTTAATCTGTTTGCCTATATATTCCTCTATTACTCTACTCTGACAATGAATCTATGTTTTTTTTGTATTCACATATTAATTTAATCATCCTATCTAGATCCATCTATATATCATTCATTCATTTTTTTCCCTATCGTGTACTCATATTTATTTGCCTTCATCTAGATATCCTCTTTCTTCATTTCTTCTTCCTCTCCCTTCCCTCCCTCTTCTCCTTCCTTCCTCCCTCCCTACCTCCCTCACTCCTTCCTCCTCCTTCCCTCCCTCGTACTCGCCCCCTCCTTCCATATTTCTCCTTCTCTCCCTTCCTCTTACCTCCAGATATTTCTCTTACTTACTCCCTCCTCCTTTCCCCTCCTCCATATTTCTCCTCCTCCATATTTCTTCGCCTCCCTTCCTCCTCCCTCCTCCTTCAGAGTCTCAGCAACCTCAAGCTCCATATTTTACGCCTCCCTCACCTCTTATTTTCTTCCTCCCCTCCTCCCATCCCACCTCCTCTCTACTCCTTACTCGTCTAATTGTATTCCCGTCCATAATTTCTTCTTTTCTTCCTCCCTCTGCCTCCCTCTCACCTCCTCTCGCCTCCTCCATCGTATCCTACTGCCCCTCCTTCCTTTCTTCCGTCCGCTCCTTCCCTCCCATTACGGCTCATAATTTTCCTCCCTCTTAGCACCCCTCTATCCACCCTCTATATTTCTTCCTCCCTCCGTCTCCACTGCCTGCCATCTTTCTCCCTCCTGCCTCCATCTTTCCCCCTCCTCCCTGCCCCTCTCCCATACTTCTTCCTTGCTCCTATTCTAAATCACCTTCAATTCCCCATTCCATTCCCTATCTCCTCTAACAATAAAGATTTCCTCAGATTATTAGTATCGAAAGGCGTGGAACGAAGCTCCCTCCCTCAGGCAAGTAAAATCGATGTCCACAACACGCCACTCCTCCCTCATAAATTTCCTTCCTCCCGTCCCTCCTTCTCCCTCCCCCCACCTCCCTCCTCCTTCCCACGACACATTTTTTCTCCTTTTCCTCCCTCCTCTCTCCCTCCTCCTCCCTTTCCTCTCCTCCTCCCATCTTTTCCCTCCCTCCCCTCCCTCCTCCTCCTTCCCTCCTCCCTCCTTCTCAGTCCTCCATCTTTCCCCTCCCTCCTCTCGTCCTCCTCCATCTTCTTCCTCTCCCTATTCTATCCCCTTCTACATAAAGGATTCTTCCCTCGTTACCTTAGTAATCGAAGGCGTGGGACGAAGCTTCCCTCAGGACAGTACTCGATGTCCCCCAAG